GAGAGAGAGAGAGAGAGAGAGAGAGAGAGAGAGAGAGAGAGAGAGAGAGAGAGAGACAGATGGATAGATATAAATAGAGAGAGAGTTACATACAGAGAAAGAATGATGTTCTCTCGACTGTTCTGCTCTCTTGAGTCAGAAACCACACCTCACGGACAATGAACTCAAATTTGAAGAACATTTCCTGTGTAATTCATAAGAGCAATTCTAATTTCGACATTTTCCCAGGCGGAGAGCTCTTTTTTTATTGCTCTGGCGCCAAGATCATGATTTTTGTGACAATTTTGAGACAGCTCCAAACCCATGCTGCTAATACATGTCAAAATATATAACAGAGAATTTAAATCTATACTGGCCTATGTAAGCTAATAATATCTCTATATTTACAAATCATACAACATATGCACCATGACAAGTGTCCAAACGGAACCCCTGCCACCCTCTCTCCTATTCACACATATTCCTATCTTTACTCTCTTTTCTCTTATTCCTATGCGTCCCTATTTTATTTTTGGCACGGAGGAATTCGTGACTGGCCACTGGGAATCGAAACAAGAAACTTCTAGAAAATAAATATCATTGGGTGGAAGAAAACACAGCAAGAAAATCAAAAAACAAAAACACAAATGAATACAAAACATATTTAGGAAAATAATGATAATGATAATCATACTGTGGATATTCCCCCCTTTATGTTTTTCTTTACATTATCGAGTATGGTTGTCATCTAAAGAAAACAAATGTGAACTTAAACACTACGTTGTTCCTTAAAGATAAAGGAGAACATCGCTTTCATATATAATACGACCCTGTACTCATTGTACTTAGCATGTTTATACGAATGGAATCAGGTGTACACAGAGAGACGACCGAGCACTTAGGCCGGTCATCAAATTTATTATAGTACGTGATATAATGTATTTTCACTAATTCTTAACTTTATTGAATGCAATACTGAAATAGGCAAGTAGACTGATGTGTTGAGATGCATACATATGTAAATATGCCTGCAACGTGTGTGTGTATGTGTGTGTGCGAGTGTTCGCGTGTGTGTGTGTGTGTGTGTGTGTGTGTGTGTGTGTGTGTGTGTGTGTGTGTGTGTGTGTGTGTGTGTGTGTGTGTGTGTGTGTGTGTGTGTGTGTGTGTGTGTGATGGATAGAATGGACTCTCAGCTATGTACAATATGAGATGCGCGGTTCCTACGGAATGACTATTTATCAAAAGAGATTTTTGCTCTCCCAAACGCACGCTTGCGATATAAAACTATAAATCTGCGTAACCTAATTTCTAAGGAAAGAAAAATATAATAAAAATGAACGTAAGTAACGCTTCTATTTTTCCTGGGTTTCACAAGATTTTCACTAAAATAGTAAATAAGATAATATACACTCAGCGCTTTTTACCATGCAGTTTCACTAGCAGCATCCAAATATTAACCTACAGTATATTTGGTCCCAAGCGACATTCCTTTTCTTTTTCAGAAACGTCTTTGTACCTCGTAGTTAAATCTAAGGCATTACAGGACTCTCCTCTAACCCCTTCACTGGCACACTCACTAAAAAGTTATACTGACTGAGTCAGTGTTCCTTGCTCTCTTCCTCTGCCTTCTACAAGAAACAGTATTGTAATTATAGAAGAGAGCCTCGCTATTTTCCAAACACACTTCGCTACATCTCTATACCAGACACAAACGCATTAATGTGAAGAGAATTGAATGATACAGTATAACAGAATAATCGTTCTTCAATAAAAAAGAGCAAGAAACGATATCAAGTGTTACTCAGTGTCCACCCGAAGGGCAGTCTAGCCTCAATCGAAACATTCCGGAGTTAGTGAATCTTAATGAGGCTCCGTTTCACTCCCCTCGGCGTCATCAGAAGGCGCCGCGAAGACCGAGACTGTCGGCAGCTCGGGCGAGTGGACGATGACGCACGTCGTCGACACTGTAGCCAACGACTTTTGCGTGGACGACGCCGCTGGCAAAGGCGTCCCGGCCTCGATCTCCTCGCTGGAGGATGACGACGACGACGAAAAAGATGCGCCAAGGAAAGGCGGAAGTCTCCTTGGCGACATGAAACTCGAGGGCCGCTTGTTGTGGCTCGACGTCGCTGCCTGAGGCTCGAGTCCCAAGCCCGGCGTGGAGACGGACGCCTTCAGCTTCTCTGTCAGAAATGGGATGTCGAGTTCCTCCAACAGAGAGGATAACCTAAGCTTGTAGATAAGTCTGGGAGAGCCGGGTTCAGGGGTCTGTGACGAGGACCTGGGTTCTGCAGCCTCGTCTGACGAAGGAGGAGGAGGTGAAGGCATCGGGAATGACCCATTTTCGACTCTGTTGGCGGGTGTCTCCGCCTCTGCCGTCTCGGAGGGCGACCCGGGTTCATCGCGCGGAAGCGACGCCGTGGCCTGCTGTGCCGGAGATGTCCTTCCAGGAAGCGCGGGCGGCGGCGGCGTGCTTGAGGGCGGCCCGGGGCGAGGAGAGGCCAGGTTCGGCGGGCTGGACTCACACCTCAGGGGAAGGGCAAGAGAGGACAGGGCTGGTGACCTGACCTGTCGAGGCGTGGTATTGGCAGTCAGTAATGAAAGTGCGTGACGAGTTGCTTTTGGAATGCGAATTTGAGGCCCGACCCGTGCGCTTGCTCCGACGGGTACAAAATAACTTCCGGTAGGCCGTGCGGTAGTTGCGGTTGGTCACGGCGTACACGAAGGGATTCACGACGGCGGAGGCCCAGGCGAGCACGGAGGCCAGCACGTGCAGGGAGGGCACGGCAACCTGCGGCAACAAGAACAACAAACCGTTAGGACTCATCGTCAAAAAAGTTGATCTTGATATTTATAGAATAAGGATAATGATTACAGTGATAAAACATCAAGGATGATTATAATCATGAGTTCGTGTTCCAGCGTTGTCACTGAGAGCGACTTACGTCATCGTCGGCGACGTTGACGATCATGAGCGGCAGGAAGGAGATGAGGAAGCAGAGGAAGATGGTGAGCATCATCCTGGTGAGCCGCAGGTCCTCCTTGCGGGCCATCTGGGCGCCGTACGCGGACGAGTTGGTCTTGGCGCCCGGCGTGGAACTGTTGGCACTGTGGGCGGCGAGGTTCAGGCGTGACTGGCGGACCTGGGGAAGGGAGGGAAGGAAGCGGTGAGATTTATATGTGAATTTAATGGGTGTGGCTAATGCATGTCCGCGCCGTCATATGGCGGCGGCGCCAGATGCGAAATATGCAAGATGTATGGCCACTCATGGAGTGGGCATTACGCAGACAGAACACAACAACAGGAAAACCATCTTTGGCCCAACCAACCTTGTAGTAGATGGCCGAGTAGCAGCCGATGATGGCGATCATCGGGAGGAGGAAGCCGAAGAGGAACAGGAACTTCTTGGGCGAGGAGCCGTTGTTCTTGAGGATGGTGCAGGAGAAGGAGGGGGGGTCCAGCCCCAGCTTCCCCCAGACGCCGGCTAGCGGGGGCACCATCATTCCGAAGGAGAAGAGCCACACGAAGGCGATCATCAGCCCGATGTAGCGGCGGCGGTACACGCGGTCGTAGAGGCCGTGGTGCGCGATGAGGATGTACCTGCGGGAGGCCAGGGGGAGGCGCTGAGTGGGGAGGGACCTCGAATGAGGAAGAAGGTTGTCCTCTCTCTCTCTCTCTCTCTCTCTCTCTCTCTCTACCTACCTACTTACCTCCCTACCAACCTGTCTCTCTTCCTTTATCGAATCACGTTCATTTGTAAATACTTACTTAAATGCTTCAATATAAGTCTTTTGCATAATGGCAATGATCAGACTTTGTCGTTACCTGTTGATGGTGATGGCGACCATGTTGAGGAGTGACGCCGCGACGTTGCCGTAGAAGAAGAACGGGAAGATCTTACAGAGTGCGTCTCCGAGCACCCAGGCTTCGTGGATGTACCTGGGAGACGGGAAGGAGGAAGAGGTTATTCGACGAAAGGGCAATAATTTCCAGTGTTCATCTATATTTATACTACCTGTTTATCTGTTTAGACTTACTAGTCGACAACTTAATTCATCTTTTTTATGTCAGTTCATCTACAGAGATTAACACTTGGATTTCATTAATTAAATCTGAAATGATACCCCGGCTCATGACAACATCAACAGGGCGTCGCTCACCTGGAGGCGGTGAGGGGAAGGTTGATGGAACAGAACAGCAAGTCCGAGACGCACAGGCTGATGACAAAGGCGGTGGTGGCGTGAACCCTTAACTTGACACTCCTGCTGAGGGCGATGATGGTCACTAAATTACCTGAAATACAGAGGAAGGAAGTCGTTATAAAGAGTGGTGTTGAGAGAAGACTTCCGGTGAAGAGAATCAGACAAATAAATACAAACTTAGGATATACCAAGGGCATTATCTTGCTTATTGACACAATTTAATACGGTTGGAGCCCGTGTTGAGACGATGGAAAGATCAGTAGCTCAATTTCGTGTATGACTGACAATTTGTCACTCGCAGACAAGTTGCGTCGCCTCGCCTAGCCTCGATAAATAACTACATCCGTCATCAAGAACTACGACGTAACTAAAGCTACTGACTAGGTGTTATCAAGAAGTATTAATTACCAATAATTGTAACTGCAGCAGTGAGTACTGCAAAACAACTAAATGTGTGTCACCATTGACTGTCTATCGTCATCAGTAACTAATTGCAACTACGAAGAACCAATTAAGGGCTAATTAACCATGACAACTGCATCCAAACAGAACAACAATCCCGGCGCCATCAACCTATCAGCGTGCATCCGGCATCCGGCAGACCCGACCCGGAGCCCACGGCAGCCGACTCCTTCGGGTAAGTGTTTAACTCGAGACAATTTCCGGCTGACAGCCGACGTCCGGGCCTTAGAGACAACGCCCGTCGAGGAAGCGTCTTGCGGCCCTCGAGGATGACAGCTTCCGGAGATGGATTGGCTTCGTCTCCCTCGCCCCTCTCCTCGTCCCAGCATCCGGCACTGGGATGCCCCCCTCGGCCC